TACTACGGCTATAACAACTTCGAAACTGTTCTGAACTTTTTAGTAGAGCAGTTTAATGGATTTTAGATTTATATTTATTTAATTTTTCGATGAGAATCTAGAAAGAAAATACTGCATATAATTTATGATACGATTTTTTTAAAACCGAGCATGAATTATGTAACGAGTTTGCGCAGGCGCGGGCGACGGGAAGGCTTCCATATAAATGTAACGGTAATGAACGTGAAGTTTGTTTGATATTCAGTTTATCTCGACTGATCAAATAATTGACTGACTAAAGTGTGAATTTACATTTGGCGCTAATTGTAGTTTTATAGCTTGTAATTCGCTAGTATTTGATTGCTCTAGACAAATAAATAATTTGCTAACAGTTCAATGTTACCAAAAACGTGTCAAGAAAAGAATATGGACAACGTTTAATAAAGTACTTTCATAGATTTGTTGCTTGTGTTCTTAAAAAAAACATATTTTTAATAGGTATAATAATAAACGTCGCCATAATATATTTCAATATTAAAGTAAATCTAGATTTCTTATTCAAAGCTAGATAAAGTAGATAAATGCCCCATGGCATTAAGGCTGCATTGAACAAAGTATAAATTACAAATGGAATTATGGCAGTGGCACAAAAAAGTATAAATAAACTACAAATGGAATTATTTATAATTTTCAATGGTTATTTGTATAAAATGTCTATGCGTCGTACCTATATCATGTCACAACAAGTCGGCGATACGAATCGCACTGTCCGTTTCATAAAATATATTAGCGCAATAAATGTGCCCAGAAAAACTTGACCTATCACACTCTCTTACGTAAGATATCAAACATAACTGTGTTAATGTTACACCTGTTTCATAAAAATAGTATTGAGATGTACATCTGTGAGGGCACGTGGGTCAACATGCCGCCACCTGAAACACATCACTCATCATTGTTCCCGACACACTCATCGGACAGACACGCTGCTTCACTTTTATCTTCGCAATATTTACTCAATCACATCTCATTGTTATAACTTTTGTGGCAGCTGCGTCCTGCATAAGAGAAACCTATAAAAACAACTACACATCACCCATTATCTGAAATACGTGAAAAAGACTACAAGCAAGGTATTAGAGGAAGCGCGTCGTAAATGATAAACTCTGTTGTCACTTCTTATCACTGGGACTCGGTTTGGTGAGTCACTAACGCTTTTGTTTGGATTCGAAAAATTACACTGACTTGACAGTTCTATAGGAACTTTTAAAAGAATGTGTTATTGCCCTAACGGTTGGTTCTGGAGCTTTGTTTTGTAGTTTAAAGCGACTTCGAACCGTTTTTTTTCGGCCCTGGTGAACAACTGCATAATTGTTACTAATACTAGATTAATAATTTAGATTAGTCATTATTACCCAATAACAGAACTATATAAATAAGATTTATTTTAGCTAACATTGGAAATTTCCTGATTTCTCCCGAAACTATCGCTGCGTAGCATTCGTAGCACCGTAGCGGCCGTCCCAAAATAAACAAAAATAGTAAAATAGATTATCTCTACAGTTGCGTAGACTGTTCATTCTCGTTCAAGTTCACCTATGTATTGTACTTATGTACGTCTTTCTCGATTTTTTTATTAAGGTTCAATTACCTACTCATTTCCAACTGATGACAAAAGTTAAGTGTCACGGTGTGGTAAGTGTGGACTCTGCGGTTTACCATTCCGACTTAGCAAATAGTCTAAGTGTGGACGTAATGCATTTTGGCAGTTCACTAGAGAAATTCGAAATTGCTTTTTTATAAGAAGCGAAATGACATTATTTAGATATAGGCAAAAAATTTAAATTTTCTGAAAAATTAACAGCACTGACGTGTCGATCAGGAATTGGTGAATTTAGGTAGTAGTGTGGGTGTTGATGGTGGTGGTGGTGGTGGTGGCTAGTGGTGTGGTGAGGGTTGTTCCCGAAGTGTGGCAGGCATGTTGTCAGAGGGGCGGGGCGGTGTGCAAGGGCCGGGGGGCGGGGCGGGCACGCCCGCGCGGCGGCGCAGGCGCGGGGTCCGTGGACGACGCCGCCGCGTCTGCCGCGCCTGGCGCTCATTCGGGCCGCGAGCGCAGCGCCGCGAGCACGCGATGCGCAACACTTCAGCCCCGCACGCACGAGCGCGCGACCACTCCCGCGCGCCTGCCCGACACAGTGATGTTACCAGACTCCGCTGTTATGTGCCATCGGTTCGGTCGTGAACGAGTGCCACTCCATCTGTTTCCCAAACGTTGATTGTGCGTTTGTTCGAGGATATCGCGGATTTTGCGTACCCGTCGACGTTGGATGCGTTAAAATTTCGGGTGAGTGAGAGAGGCGAGCGGTCGTGCGCCCGCGGCCGGTTTGACCGCATTATTTTCGAAATACGTACGCCGCAATCCGGTCGACCGCGCTAGAACGATCAAAACATTATAACAAAAACATATACATAAATTCGGTGACGTTAATATATTTTTCCAGATCAGCCAGTACTTTCGTGATCTTACTATACTTTCACAAAAAGTTATTTATTTCATACAAATGTGATACTGTTTGTTTTGTTGCAATTTAGGATTCAAGATACGCTGCCAATCGAATTATTACATACCTGAGCTTCTCATGTGGTCAGCTGGACATGACTAGAGTCAATAAGATTAGTTTGAGCTAAACAATCGTGATTAAATAATGTCAAGCAAACTAAACAGCGCGTACAGTTACTCGTAGCAGCACGAAACGCATCCCGTTGATGTCTTTTACTGAACGCTTTTGGAAAGTGCTTGAGCGATATAACCATGTTTATATTGGGTGTTTGTGTAACATGACATGTGAATTTGGTTTCTCTTCATTTTAATATGGTGTGTATCGTCGAACATGCATTATTAGCAACATTTTTTCAATTTTGTTTTTCTCAGTTTGTGATAAATACAGAGCGACGTTAAACAGTGATAGTGAATTGGTGTTTTAGATAATAAAACAAAGTAATGGCCATATAATAATAGGATTTCATTGATATTTACTTTTTGCAGACGTTGTATCTCATCTACATTTAAATGTATCGCGTCACATGGTCACTTGTATTTTGATAATCCCCTCCACTTGCTACGCCGTAGAGATGTCACTTCGTTAGTAAATTAATCAACACATCTGCATATTTTGAATGACACAACTGTGTAATATATACTTGAGGATAAACTGGGTTAACTCCAGATATTCTCTTGTAATCTTTACATAAGAAGATTGTTTCGGATTATCGCAAATATTGGTACACATGGTACATCTCATTGCTTTCGAGCATATCTGGTTTCTCTCAGTGTTAAGAATATTCACTTATAAATTACTCGGACGAAAACATTCTTGTAAACAATTACAGGGAAATTCCGAAACAGTAAACAAACACACAGATAAGATTATAAACAGCTGTGTTGTGGTTTGGCGAGGTGGTGCGAAAATTGTTTTTTATTGAAGATGCGATATTTTGTTACATTGTTAATTCTTACTTTATTTGTGGCGCGTATACAAGAGCTTGTAAGATGAGGTAAATATCCGTATAATATACGCACGCACCTGTATAGGAATGCCTTTGATATGTTAACAATCAATTTTTCATTTCATTTTGAAGTAGTAGCTTCAATTTAATTGTTGTATAAAAAGTTGATTTTATTGTAAAAACAAATATGTACTGGCAATGAAAACTACAAAGTATCTGATTTTGCTGTTCAGTTAAAACTACACTTTGAAATTTCAAAAAACGTTGCGGCATATGTGAATTAATTTATTCATGTGTATAATTATCGTTTATTTAGGAAAATCGCGTTAAGAAAATTAAAAAAAAAAACATTCAAATAACAGTTCGAACAACCCTCAAAACACAAAAATTTCCAAAATGTGTTAAGAATTTCACAATGAAAATGACGACGAATCGATTTCTATGATAAGCAAGGTATTTGACCTTTGAGGTTGGTCCATCATCGCCCGGGGGGCGTGTCCTAGATCTCAAATAAAAATAGTCATCATCACTGACCACTATCAGTCATCGTTCACCTTCAGTCGGAGACGTGCGCCTCCATCTCATTCCTACTCAATGTACCACTCGCGTCACAAGCTTAAGCTTACTCAATATCTCTAATTAATTATTAATTGCTCAACCAAATTTAAGCAAATTATTTTCAATTAAAAGTGTACAGTTAGTGATTTAACCGATGTTTATTAACATCATCCGATCACAACGTTTAAATAAAAACGGAAGACTTTAAAGCCGATGGTGTACTCTTATGGTAGGTACTACAAGTACATAGGCTTGTACAGTTTTACTTAAATGTGACAAGAGGTTCGAAACTCGCCTCTCCACTTATGCATGTTGACCGGTACATGTACTACTCAATTGAATTAAATATGCATGAGTATATTACAATGTATGTTAGTGCATTCATTAGAAATACACCTAGAGATAAAACGACTGCCGGTTGGACACAGTGTCAGTCTTTGTTGACCAACCAATTACTAGTAAAATGCATCTGTGTTGTATGTTCATTGGAAATTCTTACTCAATCGGATTATTTGTGTTGATCTGCCTCGATAAACCTTACGTCCCGGTGAACAGTTGTCGGTCGGCTTAACGTTTAACTTGACTCAATAACAAATCTACGTTCGTACTTTACAACGCAAGGTCTTTCCGCTAATAACTAAGTTTCAGTTAAATGGATTTTAAATATGTCGGTGCTTCTTAAGGCCATTTATTATAATTATTATGTTCTAAAATTGTATGGTAAATCTTATGGGTACATGATACAATATAGTACAAATACCACAAAACCAATTAATTTAAGCATGGTGGTCACGAAAAAGTTTATACGCAGGGTTAATTTGTGACACCCCTTACTAGTTTAATCACAACAAAATTTTTATTCGTACCTATAAATAATTTAATTAAATATTGAAGTTTTTTGAACGTCAGGACTAAAGTTTTTTTTTTGTATCTTTACAGGTGGGTCGAGGAGAATTATGCGTGGGGCGTGCGCATGCGCGGTGGTGTGCGCGCTGGTGGCGCTGTGCGCGTGCGCGGGACTGGACGAGCGCACGCGAGGCGCTGCTGAGCGCCAATTGCTGGCACTGCTGGGCCTTCCGCGCCGACCAGCGCGCCGCGCCGCGCCGCCGTTGGTGCCGCGAGCCATGCGCCTACTCTATGAGGCTGACGGCGCCATTCCTGCTGCTGCCGCCAACACGGCGCGCTCCTATCACCACACTCCCACCGAGCTGGACTCGAGGTTTCCTGGCGAGCATAGATTTCGCCTCTATTTCAACTTGAGCGGGATACCCAGTGATGAACTCGCTCGAGGAGCAGATCTCACGTTTCAACGAGTCGACGGAGTCGAGGGCGATCAGCGACTGCTCCTGTACGATGTAGTTCGACCGGGCCGTCGCGGTAAAACAGCTCCTATTTTGCGGCTTCTTGACTCCATACCGCTGAGAACTGCTAAAGGTGCTGTTACTGCAGACGCGCTCGGTGCAGCACGACGATGGCTCAAAGAGCCTGAACATAATCATGGACTATTAGTGCGAGTGTTAGAAGAAGGTGAGAAAAATGTGGACGCTCAACGGCCTCATGTTAGAGTGCGGAGACGTGCGGAAGAAGAAGACGAAGAATGGAATACGCGGCAACCATTGCTGCTATTGTACACGGAGGATGCGCGAGCTCGGGCTGCGCGGGAGAGTGGAGAAACGCGCCTGGTGCGCAACAAGCGTGCGACACAACGAAGGGGTCACCGGGCACATCATCGTCGCAAGGAGGCTCGCGAGATCTGCCAGCGACGACCGCTGTACGTCGACTTCGCGGAGGTCGGGTGGAGCGACTGGATCGTTGCACCGCATGGCTACGAGGCGTACTACTGCCAGGGTGACTGTCCGTTCCCACTGGCGGACCATTTGAACGGCACGAATCACGCCATTGTGCAGACTCTTGTGAACTCAGTGAACCCGGCCGCGGTGCCGAAAGCGTGCTGTGTACCGACGCAGCTCTCCTCTATTTCCATGTTATATATGGACGAACTAAATAATGTGGTGCTCAAAAACTATCAGGACATGATGGTGACGGGATGCGGCTGCCGATGACGAAGGCGCCCCCCACGCCAAGTGCGGACCTAGTGATAACTCGTGGACCCAGTGTACATATAGTGACGGCCTCGAACATTGTACATACTTATTTGTGTATATATTCGTGTAATTATTATTTTATTAAAATGCAGATGTAATAAATGATGTAATTTTAAATTGAATCTGTTTATTATTCATTTAGCATCCCAGGTTGTAAATGCAATAAGAAAATTCATTTTACAGTAAACTTTTGTCAAAAGTCAAAGGTGTTTTTAAATACTTGTGTATAAATGCACTACATTGCACAACAACACATTTTTACACCTGCAGTAGTTGAGTAACATATGTAGGTAATTATAGGAAAGTAAATTTTAATCTATGAAATATCATACATGAAAATGTATTTCCGAAGGTTTTCTTCTATGCTGTGACTTGAACTTACATTCATATATTTTTAGTAAAAAATGTTACATAAAACAGTCAGTAGAAGATATTCCACAAAGTGTTGAAAAATGGAAACAATAAATCGATTGTAAGAATCATTCAGAACACATTATTATTAATAGTTTGACAATCACACCTGTAAAAATATGAATGTTTAAACGAATGAACCAAAACTATTGAACAGAGAACTGACCGGCACAATATCTTTGAGAAAAGGTCAGGAACCAGAAACACAAACTCCTTTATTCCAAACAACTTCACTTTCATCTATTGTTACTTTAATCGTGTTATTTCAGAAGCCAATGAAAATATGAATGAAGAAAATTTAACGTTTAATGACCTTTGAACAATCAAAATTTGCAGAGCAGCTTAACCAGGCAGCAAGCATACCCTACTCGGTTCTGTCAAATTTCTTTATCATAATGTCAACTTTATAGTTTTGATATAAGGTACAAAATCCAATGAAAAAAATCGGAAGGTTAGAGAAGGTTGACCTGTTGGTCATTGTGCTACAGTTCTCCTTTTTGGCATTTAGACTCATGTTATGCCTACAAAAGCCGGAAACAGAGGTCACGTTCAAGCTGCAGTCAAAATATACCTCAACAGATGAACGTGGTCGTTTAGAGGTGTGTGTCACAGTAACCTCGTCACAAGGTTAAAAGACTAATGAATGAAACAACACAACGACACATCTGAATATTGTTTTTTGTACGAAAATTGCAAGCCTACATATATACGCTAGTAAAGCTAATGTATGATCAACTCTCAGCTACACAAAGTGCAATTTTAAACAGTAGGGGTACATTGTACGGGAACATTTTAATGTGTGAGTATTACAGTACAACAGTAGTATACTCCCGGCTAAAAAGGACATTTATGATACAGATTCATGCCAGTTGTTATTCAACCTATGATGAGAAAAGTTTGTATAAGGCAGGAAAATAAACAACAACAAATAAGTGTTTAGCTATACTGATTTTAATCTGGAAGAACTTTTTCTGCCGTATCATCAGATTATAAATTGTATCCAAAACCACAAGACAAATGGATAAATCGTCAATATTTTGTTCTATTTGATTTACGTGAACATCAAAAAATTGAACCAACCGAGACCAAGGTGTCTAATGTATTTTCAAGAGTTTCAGTTCCAGTAAACGTTAGAAGTTTGGTTAGAGATCATCTGATCTCGGTTTCGATACCCGGGTTGGATAAAGTATTATTGCTGTTTTTATATTACTACTAGCTTCTGCCCGCGGATTTGTACGCGCAATCCTATTTTCTCCTGTTTTCTGTCTTAGGAACCTTCTCCTAATAATAAAAAATACAACAAAAAAGATTAGTGAAATCGGTTCAGCCATTTACGCGTGATGTCGTGACCAAGGAAAAAGTAATAATTTTCATATATATATACATATACACATATAGCCCGCCTGATGGGAGTCAGCTACAGTAAACCTGTAATAAAATCAGAGGCACCACAAGTGCGTTGTGACACATGTTAACTGTTCATTTGCACCATCTTTTCCGGGTAAGAGATCTCCTTAAAAAATGATGGACATAGTACGTGGAGTATGCTTCGTAAAAACTTCTTGAATGGGTCAATGCTTCAAAAAAGGTTCGTCCAGACAGTAGACTTTATGTCGACATCATCTTCTTTCTAATACTGTTCTTAAATCCATTAGAATATGAGTTAGACTTGAAATACTACTAGCACTAGAACTACATATATGTAATTGCATAGTTTTAGGTACAGCATATGCTTATAGGTACTTAGGGACTCAAGGTATCCTACATCAGAATAAAAAATCTATGAGATAATATTGGAATGTTAAAAACGAAAAGATCTCGATGGAATTTGTATGAAATTATGTAGCATGACGTCATGTTTGTTTTTATTAATTTAGTTTTATAACTATAATTGTATGGATATGTAGCGATTTGTACCTAAGTCTATACAAATAGTTTTTATTGTCTCGATTTTGCGGAAAGTATAAAAATCTAGTGTGTTAATATGAAATAATGAAATAAATGCGTGTTTAGAATAAAGAGTACAGAATTAGCAGATTACACATGGCATGCAGATAGATAGATACTAATTCAATACAGTTTGACCGACTTAAGTATATTTATATATTGTTTAAACCCACAACAAGCAATAAAACGAAACATTGAAACATTTACGTCAAGCAATGACAACTTAATTATTCATATCGATCATTTATAATGATCTCAAGCCAGGCTTCCGCTCGGAAGTTCTAACTGGATGCCATTGAACTACTGTGGCTAACTTTAAAGCACACCTATATGACTGCAAAAAAATCTAAACGCATTCTGAATTTACCACGCCATTCGAACCGTTTAGAGAAAATCGCAAAACATAAATCTCGTAACAGAAAGTAGATTGCAGCACATAAACAAAATGTTTTAAAGTGTTGCAGCTTGAATCACTGGATACGTAATAATTTAATTGTCTAAGAGCGTAGAGTTTATTCTCGGACACTCCGTATGCCGTATGCATGCGGGGCCGCATTCCTCCGAGGAAATTCATCTAGTTGAATTGTATAAGGTTAGCTAGCCCGTAGCCGCATGACGCGCGCTCAAGCCTTTCTTTTCTCATCGTATCTTCTAACAATACAATCCACACCACACAAATAACTAGTTTTGACACTTTTAAGCATCCTTACTTTAAAATATAAGGGTCGTACAATTTCATGGTCTTCATTCATTCTTAAAATATCATGTAAAAGCTTATAAAGTCGTCTGAAAAGAATGTCAGAGATAATATTTAAAGTGGAATCCATTTAGAGTGTGGCGGGCAGGTCTCCGAATTTCAAATATTTCGTCACAAGGCGGCTATATATCATGTTTTTGCCTGGACGCAGGAATGCGCGGCCGTATAATTTGGCCGGCCACCCGGCAACTCCGCGTCTGCCGCGCCACCCGCCCTACGTCTATATTATCAGTAGATAAATTCAAGCTTTGTCTTTGCCTCGTATTTCGTCCTCTCGAGATTTTACTTTTGTTTCTTTTTTTCGTTCGCTTTGGACGGCAACAAAAAACTGAGTGGAGGCGAACGAAGTGGGTATAATTTATTTTATAGTCGGCTCGCTCGTAACTCGACGGTGGACGGCTGGACGCCGATTTATCCCCATCTCGGCGTAATTAACGTAAATGGATTGGTCAGCGTCGGTGCCTGTGAGCGGGCCGCCTCGGACCTCGCTGCGGCCGAGCCACTCCCTGCTCATCAACAGAAGCCGGGGCCAATCCGCGGAGGGCAGTACCAGTGCCTCCAGATAATACCTCGTGTGATCTGGCTTAATCCAATTAGAGTTTTTTCAAACCGCAAGCCGAATAAGATACGAAAATCGTTTGTTGATTACGTACGCTCGGTTCCCAAGGAGCGCGGCGACTTATCCCTAAGGGAATTATAATTGTTTTGCATTCTTGCACTGGTATAAAAACAAAAGGGCGAGGTACGGGCCCCCCGCGCTGCTGCCCTGCAGACCAGACTAAAGTCTGACGACTTGCATTCCCTCGAGACAAAAAGCTACAAATGAATTGGAGCGAGCTTTCGACTGCGCTCACGTGGAAACTGATTGCTTTTGTTTGGAACATCGGCTTGAAACATTGTTGTTGTAATCATTTAATTGTTTGATAATAACTTGGCTATAAAACTAAATTTCATTATAATTATACACGTCAATTGTTAGTTTGAATATAATTGAAGTTTTATTTTTTTAAATTAACAAAGTAAAAGAGTGACAAAATGTTTTTTAATGCTAGTGTTTCAATGTTTGTTTGTTACCTGAAAAATACGGCTTGTACTACAGGCAGATACTACACTTGAATATAGTTCACATCTATTTATTTAAACTTTAGTCAATGTCAGTTTTAGACGATTACACATTTAAGTTAAACTATAAAATAATTGCTGAAAAATCTGAAAATAAGACATAATACTTTGACTGCACGGTTGGTGCGGTGGCTGGGCAACCGGCTGCCGTGCAACGTGTCGCGGGTTCGATTCCCGCACGGAACAACACTTTGTGTGATCCACAAATTGTTGTTTCGGGTCTGGGTGTGTGTGTGTGTCAAATTGTATGTCTGTAAACGCACCCACGACACAGGAGAAAATCCTAGTGTGGGGCAACGTTTTTTTTAAAGAGAAGAGAGAAAGAGATAATAAGTCATCCATTCGAGTATAAGCATTCCGTCATTCATCGTCGTTTATTTCAAGTTTTTTTTTAATTCGTGCCTAGCAATTCCGAGGTCATGGCATCGATATAACCAGCCTCAACAGTGATAATAGCTGTAGCAAAAACTCATTTCACATAATACCCAACAGGTGTGCTCTGTAGCACAATATTGCGAAATTGTTTAGTTTACAATGTTTTTATGCAAAAGTAATAAAGTAATATGAAGAAAAAACCAGTTTAATTTGTGCATGCTTGGAATATTTTAGAGGAGGCGTGCGGTCGATGGCCGTACCGCGGCCGCGAGACTCCGGCGCAATACGACGCAGGCCCGCGGATGCGACCGCGCACCCCGCCATCTACACAACCACCTTATCTTAT